CGGGAGATGAATCGTTGCCTGTGATGACTGAACAGAATGTGAAGGGAAGTTCAGAACCGGGGTGCATGGTTCGTGATCCTTGTCATGCGTATGCTGAGGTGGTTCGTGCTTCGAACTTGTTCGTAGGGCGGAGAGCATCTTGCTCCTGCTGTTCGATTTTGTAGGTGTTTCCGGTACAACCTCGTCCAAGTCAAAGTCGTTGTAGAGATCAACATCGAGGTTGAAAGACGTTGATGGTTTCGAGGAAGATGCAATGTGAAAGAAGGAGGAAGTCGAGTCGTTCGCGGCCGCCATGGCATTTCTCCCTACTTCGATCGAATGGTCATGACTCATGATGGAGTCGACTGTTTCAGAAGTGGTATTGTGGTCTTTGTTCAACATTGTGAGCGGGTTCCTCTTCATCGGCGTCTCAGGCGGTAGCTTGTTGGTGGAGCTAGGCATAGAGCTCTTCTTCATGAGGCCCGTTGACCGAAATGCTGTTTGTAAGGGTTTGACTAACTTGTATGATGTCTTTGTTTGATTTTCCTTGTCGTTGCTGATGAAATTCGGCGTGCTGTGTGTCTTCTTTCTGCTGGTTGCCATCTCCTTGACTTCATCGTGATAAATGGGGATGTTGGAGTTAGACTGAGTATACTTTTTGTTTCTCAGCGGAGACTCGTCGTCAGCATAGGGGTCGTAGCCGCCAAAAATAGGCAGCAGGCACTTGAAGTTTGGGTTAGGGCTCTTGAGAAGCGCCTTAAGGTAGACATCCTTGCCAGGGGCAGGGGAGGAGCTTGCAGGAGTGTTTGAAAACTTGAGTGGCGAACGGACACGTATTTTGTTGCCGTTTTTGAACAACTTGTGTGACTTGAGGTCCGATCTCGACGGCGTTTCCAGAAACTTGGCTGTAGATTGAGGCGAAGGCGATTGACTGACAAGTTTATGTGGTCTCTTAAACTTATTGAATGGTGTTGACTTGTCCACAATAGGAGAAAGCCCTGGGTCAAAGTTTGAGTCGATGGAAAGGTTGAAATACTTGGAGGAACGTTTGAGCAAGGGCTTGCTAGGGGTAGAAGTCTTACCCTGTGTGTTTACCGCTTCATCTTCGTCAGTGAAACTGCCAATATCGTCGTCGGCCTTGACATCGCTTTTGAGGTTGAACGGAGGCGATTTGTTGATGGGTCTCTTGGGTTTGAGGTCGTCATGAATGTCATCTAGAATCAACAGATTGAATGACCGGGAAAAATGGTCATTCAGAAAATAGTCCGGATCTGGTTTCTGGGACCGGGAGAGCCTCCCCCGGTTTTTTTTCGGGGTGCCTTCCGGGTTCATGCTCCGGTTTGAGGTTGTTTGTTAAGTTTTACTTGAAGATGTAGGAGCAGCGGTTATGGGACGGAAGATATGGGGAGTGTTTTGGTGCGAGCATTTTTGAACGCGACGTAAACAACGCGAGACGAAGGGGTGGCAGCAGCGGAATATTCAGCTGGGGAGTTTTTTTAAAAACATAAAAAGAGATTTCTGAAATAAGTGTGTGATGAAGATTAATATTATACCATTTAATTATAATTAATATAGAAGTTTCCAGAGATTACGGAACTTCCTCGTTGCGCTTTGGCTGCAACTAATTGACTAGTGCACAGCGCGAAACTAAACACTGGACCACAAAACGTTGGGTTTTTTCAGAGGCCTAGTTTTCTAGCCAGTGGCTTAGGACAAGCACAAACTAGAATGTGAAAGTAAACATAACATGGCAAACCAATGAATTCTAAAAAAATGACCTGTTCCAGTCACGCTTTGTAAACAACCACGGAGTTTCCGGAACCTCTATAGGGAGACCGCGAGAGGGAACCGATGCACAATAGACGAGGGATAAGAGAAGCGCTGGCCACGCGTGAAAAAGCTCTCATTATCTTCGATCGGGTTTTTCTTTGTTTACTTGAGAGGCCCATGGCTGCTCAAATCTTGTTTTGAATTTGCTAGTTATAGTGGAAAAGTGGGGTGGCCTTTCCCAGTTCGATCGTAGATTTAGACGCTGCGTTTTGTGGCATAGGGCTAAAACCAAATTCGGGCAAAAACATGGAACTACTTTTTGGCCGCGGACCAATTGCTTCGTTTTCGCTTATGCTTCTAATAAACAACACAAGAGAAAACCGCTGCAGTCTTTGTTGACAAGCCCCAATTGTTGGGTCAATTGCAACCTGGTGTCTACAGTGTTGGTACACAATGAGCGAACTTCCCCTATCTACAAGAATATTGTGGGAATCGTAGCTCGTCAAATTCGGCTGTGTTTAACTCTGGGTTGGCCGTGAATACAAAGCCATGACCTCATTGTGAAGTTTATTCATCGGATGTCACGTCATGCGATAGCAATTGTTCAACCGTGTTTACCGTCGTCTTGTTTATACAATTGCTTCTTCACACCAGCGTGGGCACACTAGTGGTTCACCGTTGAAGGCATTCTGAGGTTTGAAGCTGCAGACACTTATGTAGGTATTGAGTTGTACAATGTTGTGCTAAGTCTGAACGACCAAGGTAAGGCTCAATCTCTATCGATGGGTATTGAAACCATGGTCAATTACGATTCTGCTGTGAAGAGTAGTTCATGTGAATCTCTTGGCATTCGAGCTGTATAGTTGAAGCGAAAGATTGTTGAATCACAAAGAAGAAATTGGCTTCCACTAAGGTAATTTTGGCCTTGGTAGATCTACGTCGTGGGTGTGACATTTACTTTCAAATGTGTTCTGTAAACTTGATGAGGATCAGCATTAGGATGATATCCACCCTTTGGCGAGTGCCAAGGCAAGCTTCTATACGTAGTGAGAGCTGTGTTTGATATTGTATGTCTTGAAATCATATTGGCACTATTCGTGTTCATTTTTGCATGGCTGACAGTGTATTGCTTCCAAAGAACGACAAGCTAGTTAAATCGGTCAATTGCCAAATTTTGGCATAATGCTAGTAGAACTTGGTCATTCGTGATGTTCAATCCTCCTTCACCTTAATCTCCTTCATCAGTGAACACCAAGCTCGGTCTTACCGGTGGCTCAGCAGCACCCCAAGAAGCACCACACCCATTCGAGCCATAGCCAGGGAATGAAGGCTTTAAAACTTGGCCCAAACAGGTCTCCTCGGCGGAATTACAAAACTCAAGCCTCTATGAAAAATTCCATTCAGCTATTCTTTCCAATCCAGCACCCCAGCCCTATCTGATCGCTCGTATGCACCGAAGCAGTGCGCTGCGGCGCTCGTAACCGTGTGCTGCAGAGAATCACTGCCATTGCATCGAGATGGTCGCTTGGAGCAAGATGCATTGAGCCAGAAAAGTAGGATATACGACTGGAGACAATTAAAATCCGCCAAAAGATGAAATAACGGATGTTTGGTTTGTCTCACTCCGCGGGATGTGCTGGACGTGCAAAGTCAAAAGTTAATCGGTGATCTACGCATTAGTCTGGGCTAATTCTCGGTACGAATAGTCAAGCTGGGTGCATCGGCCAAAAGTTTCCCCTTTTTCGCCCCAAAATGGCCTTTTTCTGATTGGCCGTGTGGCCCCGCTCTGGAGGTCCTAGACCCACATGGCTAAATGAAAGATCTTCGCAAGATCTGCCCGAAGCCCTCGTAGGGCCAATTTGTCAAAGACTCTGCCTGATTGGAACAAGTGCTGTAGCCATACCAAAAGCAAAGTGCCACGTCAGCTCGTTCAGATCACGTCACCTTAATCAACCAATGAGACGCACCCGAAACGGATTGGCTGGAGGTGCGTGAAAGGATCCGGATAAGTGCAGAGTCGACGTGGCCTGTGTGGCTGCAAAGTGCCTAACGTGCAAATGGAGTCTGCCGGATTGGCCCAAGCGCCGGTCTATTGTCAAGGGAAAACGGAGCGGAGCAAGGCCAACAGGCGGAGCACGGCGAAATAAAAAAACGACAAAAGCTCAAAAAATGACATGGCCACTGGCATGGCCGAACGTTTTTTCCACTTTTCTTTTTTTTCCTCTCATAACCGTTGCTCCGAGATGGAAAAGATAACCGGGAGGTCGCCAAGAGCCAGTGAGCGGTGCGGTGTTGCGCATTTGCAGAGCCGGCCCGGGTGCGAGAAGAGCGGAGCGATGAAATAGATAAGCCAAGAAAGCGCCGTGGGGGCGGCTCGGGCCGGGCCCAGGCGATAAAAAATAATATAAAATGTTGTTTTTCAAACTTTTCCATCGCCTTTATCATTGAACCTCCCTCGTTTTCCCCCCTTCACCTGCTTTCTCCTTCATCCCTCGAGGAGCCCGATCCGAGGCGGACCAGCCGCGCTCAACCCAACCTATGGGCGCCGGGCGCACAACCCCAAGGCAGTAATTCGTCCGTTCGCAGCAGTTCCGACCTCGCGCCGGCCCACCTTCGGGACTCGAGACAATCCACTTGCTTGATTCGGCGTGCCCAGGCGCCGCTTTTTTCCCAATCCAGCGGGGGCATTGTGAAAACTTTTTATTTTTCACAAACAACCCCCAAGACTCTAACCCTAGTCCCTAAATCTGCAGCCCATTTCTTTTCTCTGGCCCTCTGCTGGGCCCTCTGCTGGGCCGTGGTGCAATGCTGCTGACAATCGCCCGCGCGCTCATTGGCTCCATTGCTGTCAACTGCTGACGCCGCTGCAACAATGCTTATTTTGCCTCCCCTGCACCGTCTAATGGCGCTGGCCCGACACCGTTATCGTCCTCTCGCTGACGTTCAAGCCCCATAATTGGCCAGCGCCCGCGTGCCCCGACGTATGTTTCTCGCCGGCCCCACAGTGTCTGTCCTGCTTCTCCTGTTTTTTTCGCCTCTTTGTGCCCAACCCTCCCTAGACCGTGCTCGCAATATTGTGCTGCTACAGGCCGCAGTATCGCCTGCCCTTGGAATATAATACCTGCCTCTGCCCCACCTCACCGTTTCCACGCACCTACGCACCCACGCTTTTCACCGTTTCCACCACTTCATCCATATTTTCCTCCCGCCTCAGGCCTATGCTACCCCGTGCTGATCGTCTTTGCTGAACCATGTCAGCCATACCGTCGCCGCAACCGGCCATCAAATCAGAACCCGAAGAGGTCTGCCCGAGAACCAGCGTATCCGAAGATGACCGCTCTGCTGGCCAGCTGTGCTCCAACTGTGGTACCACAAAGACCCCTCTCTGGCGAAGAGCTCCCAACGGCACCCTCATCTGTAACGCCTGTGGCCTCTACCTACGCTCCAACAAGCACCATCGCCCGGTCAACTTGAAAAGACCCCCCAACACCGTCTCCGTCAAGGAGACAGAGGGTTCTTGCAAAGGTGACGGCTCCTGTAATGGTACGGGCGGCTCTGCCGTGTGCAAAGGTTGCCCAGCTTACAACAATAGAGTGGTGCTTCGCCAGAACGAAGAGCGCCATGCCAAAGAAGAGGACCACAAGCTGTCCGAGGAAGAGGACAGTTTGGCCGTGGCCTGCTTCAACTGTCTGTCTACAATCACGCCGCTCTGGCGTCGTGACGACGCCGGCAACACCATCTGCAACGCCTGTGGGCTCTACTACCGTCTTCACGGGTCCCATCGTCCCATCAAAATGAAGCGCAGCACCATCAAGCGCCGTAAACGTAACTTCGACACCCCTGCGCCCAAGCAAGAAAAGAGACTGAAGCCCGAGAAGGCCCTGCCGCGACCGAAGGCTCTGCCGAACCCTCGGGCCCAAACGCCTGCCAGCGACGCCACCCCGGTTGCGATGCCCGCCCTGGCGCCTCCTCACAATCCTGGGCCAGCTCCCAATCCAGGCGCTGTCCAGGCAGGCCAGGCGCCGTTTGTGCCCTCGTACTACCTCCCGTACCTGGGCCACGGCAGAATCCCCAACGGACCAGGCCCCATGCCAGGCCCTCCTCCGCCCCAGGTGGTCTTCCACCAGGCAGTGCCCGTTTACTACCCAGCATACGCCCAGCCCGCGCCTCCACAAGGGCCTCCGGCGCCTCAGCATCCTGCGCACCACACCCATGGTCCCCAGAGACCCGCATCTCAAGGGCCCCAGGCGCACCAGCATATCCAGCATCCTCCCGTCCAGGCGCCTGCTCCGCAGCCGTTTTTGCAGCCGCTTACCTACGGCCGTTCCGGGCTGCCTGCCCAGGAGAAGATTACGCTTCCTTCGATTCAAAATATCCCACGCACTCCGCCCGTCGAGGCCAACAAGCCTGCGTTGGCGGTGGACTTTACCAATGCGTTCCAGGATAAGGAGCGCGGCAGACGCAGCATGTCAATCGGGGGGCTTCTCAATGACAAATAGAGGGTCGTACTGCAGCGGCTCAGCCCATGTCGGTGGTCTCCTCGAGGTACGCAGCCACAGGTTGCCCGTTTGCAGCCATTTCGCAGCCTCCCTGCAACCAGCGCTGCTTTGCCGTCACCACTGGCTCCATGACTAGGCGCCCCGGCGCCACGAAGGTTTTACTAAAATGGTTAATAGATGCTTCTGCGGAAGCTACTTATATATTGGTAACAAAAAGGAATGAGAAAGGTGTAGGTGGTCTATCGAGTTACACTGAAGTTATCTGAGCACGTCAAACTACAACTACCAATTTCATCGACAATCGAGATTATCAGCCAATTTCATCGACAATCAAGATAATCATGTAGCAGCCATTCGGCTCCTGGTGATACTCTGCCAAGTTGCATTGTGGTCACGTGCAGTTAGGCTATCAGTTGCAACCGCTCAAACCTTTCACCAACCACACCTCTTTATGTCTGTGGACGAGTCACTTAGCAGAAAAGTCAAGGATATCGCTGCCGGATTCGTCGGCGGCGCCACACAGGTCCTCATTGGCCAGCCATTCGACTTGGTGAAAATCAGGCTCCAAACGAGCCCCAGCGGTGCAACCTCCACCTCCATCGTCAGACTGGTGCTCCAGAAAGAGGGCCCATTGGCGTTCTACAAAGGCACCTTGGCGCCGCTTTTCGGCGTGGGCGCGTGTGTTTCGCTTCAATTCTACGGCTTTCTCGAAACAAAGCGCCAGTTGCTCAAGCGCCTGGGCAATCTGGAGCTTCTGCTTTGGCCTCAAACGTATCTAGCAGGTGCGGCCGCAGGATTGGTAAATTCGCCTGTCACCGCGCCAGTGGAACAACTCAGAATCCTCAGCCAGGCGTCCACGAAATCCACCTCGCTCCAGGAAACCGTGCGCGCCATCTGGCGCCAGCAGGGCACTCGTGGGTTGTACCGTGGCCTTGGAGTCACTGTGGTGCGTGAGTGTCAGGCCTACGGTGTGTGGTTCATGAGTTACGAGTGGTTGTTGCAGACGGTGGTGAAGCAGCGTGGGTACAAAGGGCGTGACGACGTGACGACTCCCGAATTGTTGTTATGTGGTGCCGCAGCGGGCAATGCCTTGTGGTTGTCGAGTTATCCGTTGGACGTGATAAAGAGTAATGTTCAGAGTGATGGGTTTGGGAAGGATTCGCGATTCGGCGGCCTGGCTGCAAAGGCGGCGCGCGAGATCTGGGCTACTGCCGGAGTGAGAGGTTTCTGGAAAGGCCTTGGGCCCTGTTTGGTGCGTGCGGTGCCTTGTAGCGCAGGAACCTTTGCCGCCGTCGAGACGGCCCTCAGAGTGTTGGGATAGGCTGAGGGGGGGCAGTAGTCGCTCTAGGAAGTGATGGCGAATGTGATTGTCAAGCAGCGTTGGTTAGTGCATTGGCTGCAAAATGGTGCTCGCTTTGAGGTGTGGCACTGCAACCGGGCCATTGTGGAGACTTGCGAAAATTGCGACTGAAGGACAGTTACAGTGCTGGGGGTATTTTCTAGGCTGTGAAAGTCAAAGTGAGGGAAGCCCTTCAGTGAATTGCCGCTCGTTGATCTCCATCCAATGACCCCAAAGCAAGGCGTCAATCTTTGAAGAGGATAGATGAGTATTTATAGAAAATCTTTAAAAGTTCAACTCAATGGCTCACCTAGCCAGGTGCTTGTAATGTTTCGCTTGCAAGTGCTTCGCAAGACGAATTTAGAGAAAGCTCGAATTAAAGCTTTTAATTATGATTTTCGTGATAAATGAAATACTTCTTGGTTCTTTATCCGAGAAGAACACATTCATATCGTTTTCTCGGATAAAGTAGGTTTTCTTCTCTTTTTATACCCTCGTTTGTGATCAGCTCAACATGTTCACTTGCATAAAATATTTACATTACCGCGACAGTACGCCACTTTGCAGCCAAAACACTACTTTTGCCACCAACTACAAATAAACCAAAATCGAGTTCACCAAGATATAAAATTAAACAGTCTTGAGCTTCCACCACCCGTTTGGAGATATTGATAAGGAATAACTCCCGTTGACATTCAATCGCTTGTGGGGATTATTCTGACCCCAGATATGCCTCACCTGTCAAACCGCAACAATGAGCCGCGCATTTGCAACCATCAACTACTTCCTTCTTTACTAAACTGAACTCCACACATGTTCCTGCCAGCTATACGCCCAGCCTTAATGGCCAATAAGGCCGCCTTTGTGCTTCCCGTTAGAACGTTTCTTTTCGGCTTCTTGTCACAGTTCAACAAGAAACTCATATACCCACCAAACCCTGACCAGATCACCACCAAGAACAGACTCTTCCCCACATACATTGAGAACTCCACCGAGCTCGGTAACATCATCTTGACGAAAGAGCCATTGTTGCTCAACTTCACCATGCCAGGTGACGAAAAGTGCAATAAAGTGACGCAGTCGTTGTTCGACATCCTCAGCGATAAGTCCAAGTACCCATTGGCAGTGGATAAACTGGTCTCTTTGGCCAACATCGCCTGTGACGGACCAGGTGGAAGAGAGCTTCAGCAAAACTATGCTGTGAGCAAGATCCCTACGGTCGTGTTGTTGAAGAAACAGATGGTGGTCGATAGATTCATTCCATCAGACGTCGGTCGCTCCGAGGCTGAGCTCTCCGAATGGATCAAATCATCTTACTAAGGGTCACTATTTTCTCAAGTGAGTCTTTTATTACCCTTGAGCCATACACCCTCGAGATAGATACCAACATAAATAGCCCGCAAACGATTACATTTCTTGCGTCGAAATTTGTAGCTCAATCCACTTCTATAACGCCATAAGCAACAGTCAATGTCATCTTTCCTATGGTCCTAATATCTATTTACAGGTCTATTGGTTTTTGTCTACTCGTCCCATCCATCCTTCCAGCGCTTCTTCCACAAGTCACAGTTAAACTTGGGCTTTCCAAGCTTGACGTTCACTTCGTTGTGGGCATCACAGAGCCACCTGCCCAATTGGTCCTGGGTTTCCGTCACAGGCTCGTTTTTGGTCATGTACTTCTCAAAGTCCTCAGCACAGAACCAGCATGGGTAGAAGTTACCGAACAATTTCAAAAATTGCTTCATATCGGCCTGTTGCTTGTTGGAAGGCGTCTCTGGATACGTAGCGGCAATCAGATGGAGAAGCGTCCATGACGACCGGCCCAACTTCTCCACATCTGGAGGGTCTATCTTGGCGTAAGACTCATTTTGTTTAGTGCTGGAGCTCGAATCCACCGATGTCTCGCTCTTGGGGCTCAGTAACCCTTTGAAAGCGTCTGGAATACCAGCAGCTGAATCGTTTGTGTCTTTTTTCTCAGGCTTCTTTCCCATGGCAAACTGAAAGTCTAGAAGTGTGTTACAGCTTCGACAGCTAGACGTTAGTACGAGACTATTAGCTCAACCAAAATTCACATACGGTTTTCCGTCTTTATCATAGATGATCTTTCTACCTGAGGCACCGACCACTGGTTTTTCCTCCGTCATGGCAATCAGGCAATACGAGATGGCGATACTCTGATGTTAGTAATGGGCAGATGCTGCGATCTGCGTACACACCTTTGCAGCCATCCTACAATAAGCTTATACCTTGGGTATTATAGTTACAATTTGAACAAACTCTATATCATGTCATGCCAAAAAACTCCTTTCTCTGTCTGATCACTTCGTCGCAGAGCTCCCCGATTTCAGGCGTCTTGATGTTGCTTCTAGACCGGTAGAACTCGCTAAGATCGTACTTCTGGCCATACTCCTGCTCGTAATCCCAAGCCTGCTGGATCATCTCGAACTTATCGATGTCCTTGACGTAAACAGCTTCGGGCGACCGGATCTCCTCATACTCAAGCCACAACTCCTTCATCTCCTCGGCAAATTCACTGTTGTAAGGCGACACTATCTTGACCAAGTAGTCGATGGTGTCCAGCTCACGACGGTGCTTCTCTGCCTTGGTAACACCTCCAAAGGGAGTGATGTCTCCAACCAAAGACTCGGCGATATCGTGGACCAAAGCGATCTTGACACAACGATCGATGTTAACCTGTCTGTTTGGAAGCGCCATGGCAATGATGGACATTCTGTACATGTGATCAGCGATGGACTCCGTTTTTTCTAGCGGGATTCCACGGTCCACCCAGCCTGTTCTGGGTTGTGTTTTCAAAAGACGGACGATCTGGGTAAATGCAAGCATGCTGTTGATCTTGGACTTGGAGGCCAAAAGGGATTGGAGTTTTTCCGGCACCGCTGCCTCAGGCGTCCAAACAGGCTCTGTCATTTGGGGCATTTGGAGGAGGTTTTGTAAAAGTTGGGAAGAAGAGTGGTTGAAGATTTTCTCCAGAGCATAAACATAGGGAGTGTGTGTAGCACCGATAACAACCCGATGGAGATGGCATAAACAGATAAGGTGAAACTACGGTTTTGGATGACGGATGATGATTTGGGTTTAATTTGGAAGATTTTTTGTTTGTGTATGGTTTGATTTGGGCTAAGATGGGTAATTGTGTGAAAATAGTTGGGCTTTCTTGAGTGGGCTGAGCAGAAAGTAGGGAGACAACGTGGGGGATCAATGATCCCTCAGGAGCTAGTAAATTTACAAATTACAACATTCAATGATTCAAACGTGGAATACGTGAGACCTGATGTTATTAGTGAGTAATACGGGGTTGCCCAAGGCGTTGACAATGGTAGAGTGAAGCATGGCTGCGAAAGAGTAAAGACTATGAAACTGTCTACAAAAAGAATCATTTCTTCCGAGACAATTTTCATTTTCGGAATTGCTTACTTGAATAGGAGACTTTACACAAGGAATTTAAGAATTCCAATCGGACACCCAAGTTAATGTGCAACAGAATCATAAGAATGCCAACGAGAACTAGATCTTAACGAATGAAACGTACTTGACCATAGCAGAAGCCAAGCAAGCATCCAAAAATGAAAGATTCTTCGTTCACTGCAGCCAGAGATCAGTTCGAATTGACAACTGATGGTGTTATTTGAACATATGAACGATGAAGTAGGGCAATCAGCAGTCATGAAGTAAAAGCTCCCACATAGCCTAACGTCAAGAAGCTCTTGCTATTAGACCATCACTGCTATGTGACACAACTAATAGTATATCACAGCTATTAGCGTTTACATCTCCCCATCATCTCAGCTTGTGGGATCAGTATCTTTCTACAGGTCACCCACCAAATCTTCTCAGTCTCCGCTACACGGAGCTTGTCGGTTTCATGAAAAGTTTTATTTGACTATTACAGAATGCAGAGTCCGCAGACTTAAGCAATCAACTCAACGACACCACCAGCAGCTCTGATCTTCTCCTCGGCCAACTTAGAAACGAATCTAGCCTTGACGATAACAGGGACCTTTGGCAACTGACCCTTACCCAAGACCTTACCGTAGCCGTGGGCCAAGGTGTCGATGACTGGAGCAGAGGAAGCGGAGGCAGACTTGAGGTACTCCTCTCTCTTCTCCTCCTCAACCAAAGACCACAACTTCTCCAAGTTGAGCTGTGGCTTCCAGAAGTGGTTTCTCTGCTTGTGGAAGTATCTCATACCAACCTTACCGAAGTAACCTGGGTGGTACTTGTCCAAGTTGGTTCTGTGGTGGTGCTGACCACCGGCCATACCACGACCACCGGGATTCTTTCTGTGCTTGCCGATTCTACCCTTACCGGCGGAAACGTGACCTCTGTGCTTTCTGGTCTTGGTTAATCTGGTTGGCATTGCTGATAGATTGAACTCAGATGAAGGGAGAAATGTTTAAAGTAGGAGCTTGAAATTTTTTCTGCGGCAGCTGCCTGGGGACCGCGACCTCCAGACCTCCCACCTTGAAGCACTGGTTAACGCAGTGTGTGCAGGTCTCGCCATACTTAACGGCGCGGTACTCGAACATTTAGGTCAAAGCCCTAATGGTTTGCACGTGACTATAAGAACCAGTCCTAGCCTTTTGGATCACCACCAGCTTGGACAGTAATTTAGGGAGTTGATGCTATTGATTCCCAACCGCAGATCGGCATTCATCATTTACTTCCTGGTTGCTAAATTCTTATCTTCATCTTCAAATTTCTACGCTCTGTTTCTTTGAGTCATTGCTTCATTAGTATGGACTGGTTTTGCAACCAGTTTGACCCACGTACTATCAACGCCGCAGGCCTACTGCAACTGGTTGGGAATGCCCCACACCTCTTCATATGTGTTTTTGCCTTTCGTCTCAGGCACAAAATTCTTGACAAAAATGTAGGTCACAGCACACATAGCTGTGAAGATGTAGTAAGTACCACCTCCTAGCCACGAGTTTCTGAGCACTGGGAACAAGTATCCCACAGCGAACGTAGCAACCCAGTTCATGGTGACACCAAAACTTTGAGCCAGAGCCTTGGCCTTTGGCTGAGTAACCTCACCGACCAACAAGAAGGGAATGGGTCCCAATCCGATTGCAAAGAATGCAATGTAGACGAAGGTGCCCACTACGGAAAACCAGGAATTTGTGGTTTGGATTCCGAAACCAAGTAAAGCGGCAGCGATACCCATGAAGGTGACCGAAGTCTTAAGAAGCGGTTTTCTTCCCAACTTGTCAACAAGAGGTGCAGAGCCAAATGTCACAATAACGTTCACAAGAGAGATCAAGCAATTGATCATGACAGCTTTGGTGGGGAAAATTGAAATCAAAACGGACACTCCATAGAAGATGATCGAATTGATACCACAGAATTGCTGAAGCACCAAGATTCCTGTCGCAACAACCTTCGAGTTTCTGTACTCTGACGACTTCATGTACTCACCCAACGAAACGGCGGAATTAGTCACGGGTCTCTGTTCCTCCTCGCCAGCGAGCAAGTTAGCATCCTCCTCGACAATGCCAGAAGCCTGCTTCCAACTGTTGACCTCGTTCCTAGCAAGACCGTATTCTCCGCCTCTCAATTTGTGCAACACAGTGAAGGCTTGATCAGACATACCATTGTTAACCAACCACATAGGTGATTCGTCCATGTAGCTAACGACAAGGAAGAAATTCAAAAGCGCAATAGCAGCTGCCATAAATAAAATAAACCTCCAATCATTGTCATTATTCCATCTGAGTGCTAGCACTTGTGTAAAAAGTATACCGACATTGACAGAAACTTGGTTCATTGAACCCAAGAATCCCTTGTACAGAGGCGGAGCGATCTCATTAATCACAAGCGATGTGACAACAAGAGCCGATCCAGCACCAACTCCGGCAATGAATCTACCAGCTAACAACGCGTGGTATGAGTTACTGAGTCCATTGAGGGCAGAGCCGAGGAAATAGACGCAACAGTGAAGCATGGCAGTCTTCCGTCTTCCGATACTATCAGCAATAGAGCCAACATAAAATGAGCCAAGCAAACCTCCAATACTGAAGATGGACGTCACAAGGCCAAATTGTTCGGGCTGCAAGGGAATGCACCGAGCGAATCCACGTTGGCCAAAGAATGAATCTTCATAAGGGGTGAGTAGCGGAACAGACTCTTTACAAGTCAAAATGGCCTCTGGGGAATTGAGCTCGGACATGTGATATCCGAACTGGAGCGAGCCGAGGCAAATTGTTGCCACGGTTATGACTAGTTTGGCAGTGAGCGTGTCCGCTGTTTTATCGGCCATTTCTATTAGTAGTTGGTGGTTCGGTGTTCTTGCAGATTTCGTGGGGCAGTACAGGAGTGAGCGTTCCTTTAATGTGTACCTTTCTCGTGACTTTGGTCATGTGATTCGATTTGCAGCCATTTATACTATAGGCAAGAAATTCCCGATCACCATCATGGGAATACCAAAGACATCTCTTTTCAAGGTCCAAATGCAGCCCGTTCGTATTTTCACATCATGCTTAGGTGTGAGAAGGGTGCACTCTGTCATTGTAGCACCAAGGAAGTCGCCAAATGCGATTCTCAGGAAAAGCTGAAAGTACTCCACAACAGATTTATCGTCTAGTAATTCCACAATGAAATTGATCTTTTGACCCATTAGCTGGTCTTTCGTCCACCCAGTGAGTATGCTAAATTCTCTACCCACATAGGCAATCTCGCCTGTTCTTCGCCAAACGATTGTGGGTGTTCCGCTGACCTTGATGAAGTTGTCATAAGTGAGAAGGGTCCGCTGGAAACACTGCTCCATAAAAATGAGGTCAGCCTCTCGTAGCGAGTTTGTACACGCAATAAATGAAGGTCTGTATGAGGCCATTGACTCGGCCATTTTAACGAGCATTTCTTTTGGAAACCGGCTTCGTAAGTACGCAATGAGCTTGTGGAAGCCAGGTGTATAAGAGAATGGTTTCTTCACCGTTGCATAGATGCTTTCTGGTTCCAGATAATGTAGGCCGTTGTCGTCGTTTATATGTCCAGTCTGGTCCTCAGCGTTGGTTTCGATCGCAAACGAAAGGGCCAGTTTCTGATTTCTTTCATAAAAAACTGAAGGGTCAGAGTCCCTCATAGCCTCAATGGCTTGGATAACGTCAGGAAAAGCCGAACGTTCGTTAGACAACTCCAAAAAGTATTGATTTATGCGAACGTCGCAACGAGGGAACTCGGATCCATGGTAGATTTGCGCTTTTTGGGAGGGCGCCTGATGTGTGGTTTCCGCTCCAGCGCTATACGAATTGGCTCCCAAGTTTGACGGCGATGGAACATTCTTTTGCAACATTCCGTGTGGTGAAAGGACGGGTGATATGTTTACAGAATTTGGCGTTCCTTCTGTGGATGTCGCCAGATGGTTGGGATTGAGTCCCATGAAGTTGTCCTGAAGGATGTTGGATAGCTGGGAGTATTCGAGATCTGCAGCTGATGAGAGAAAATTGGTCGGTTTTCTGTGTCTCTGGTTGTCCTGTGGTTGCCATTGTTCATCGCTTCCCAATCTGCTTCGGGGGAAGTTTTGGTCATAGTTGTAGGGTTGGTCTGGGAAAAATGTAGGTGACTCTTCTTTGATAGGTTCTCTTTGGCTGACGCTTCGGCCAATAACCGTAGGTCTCTGATGTGCATAGTTTGGTACAGATGCTGAGTGCTGGAACATGGTAGCTTGGTGCACTTGGTGGTTTCTGTCTGTATACGGTGTTTGTTGATTTGAAGTCATGGAACTGGTTTCTTCCACTGACAGAGCCTTGATCATATCGACTGGTACATCAGATAAATACTTCTTTCGTTTTCGTGGAGCGTCCTCACATGAATCCAGGAGGCCCCTCTGAACACATCGTTTACAGGGTCTGGAAGTATCGCATGTCATATGCGCTTTGTGGCAGTGATTGCATGCTCTCGATGTTTTCTTTCTTTTCTGTTTGTTAGTATTATGCTAAATCAAGAATGCTTTGATCTGACGTCCCAATTAAGCTCTAATCAAAGTCGATATCTCGGTATAGGTCCGAGATCTTGGAGTCATCTGAGTCATGTTGACGAGGGAGGTCCAAGTTGGAAGAAGTTCCATTTGAGTTTCGAGATCAAGAGTTCAGGGCCACCATGAAGCTTATTTTAGATCCAAACATACCGGCTTCGTACCGCTGTCGGCATTCATTCCCCATCAGGTTTAAAAGAGGTCTAATCCAAGCACGGTCTTGATCACACCGGGAGGCACGGGTGCACACCGTTTGCAGCCATGAACATGATTTGGACCAACACAATGATGCAGTCTTGGGACAATTACCAATAAGAAATTTTTTCTTTTTTTGTTGTAAAGAAATATGAACCCAAAAAGTGTTGCGGATTTGCCTTTGTTTTAACAATATAGAGATAATCAGAAGGAATAAATGCTCTTCGAAAGTACGATTTCGAGGAAGGACGAACGCTAGCGACCGTGATGGTATATTTGATTGAAACTGATCACTTCATTTAGTTTGATTAAGCTAATTGGAACACACCACGGTTTTCATTCCTTGACAATTGCTTTTAGTTAATGCAACATGGGCTTAGCTGCGAAACCTAAAAAGGCCAACCAGTAACCTAATTGGAAGCGGCTGCAAAACCGATCATACGATACTTCTAAAACGTAGAAAGCATCTGGATTATACATTGAACATCAAAAGTACAGAATTGGTCGTCTCCGTTCCACATATCTGCACTTACTACAACTCAAGGCGTCTACAATAAGTCGATGAAACGAATATATACTATTTAATCTGTCAAAGGCGAAGCCAAGTGTTTCATATAGCTAAAAGGCAACAATAGAAGCTGGATCTCAACCATCCAAAGCGTAACCTAAATCAGCGCCCTTAAATTGTTCAGCCAATTTGGCCAATTTGTCTCTCAACATGGTCATGTTCTCGTTCACGGGCTCAAATTTAGGAAGCCAATCAGCTACACCATGTTGAAGCACACCCTTAGCACGGAAGTGGCCTTCATCGCAATGTCCATACGAACCATGCAACGTCAAACGAAGCTCCTTGGCCAGGTACGATGCACGGTGCAAAATGTTACTGTTGTAGAACACAATGTCACCTGGTTTGAGATCCACCGAAATCTGACCACTGATATGCTCTTTTCTGTCGTCATTGGTAGTCTTCTCTCTCTCCTCCTCAGTTCTGATTCGCTTGTGAGATCCAGGCACCACAATCAAGCACAGATCATTGGTCAATGCAAGGTTGAACTGAGTTCCAGCATATGGAGCAGTGAGGAGCTCTTCAGCCTCTTGTTGCGGCAGGGCCTCAGGCTTAATGTAGTCTCTGTGCCAATCAAGACCAAAGTCGGTGAGAGGATTGATCAACATGTTGAACAACTCCATGCACAAGTTGTCAGTGGGTGTCTGCAAAATGTCCAGTGCAATATTCAAAAGACGCTGGTCCGAGTATAATGTCTGGAAAGGTTTCGACATATCCTTGAGTTCCGGGTGCAAAAGACCCGTGACACCCCAAATGTCAGGACTAAAGTTCTTAGGCCATGGAGGGAACTGTTTTCCTCTGGTACGAACATGAGGCCAATTGCCGTCTCTGGCATATTGAACAACGTCCAATGAGGCCTTCTTATAAGTCTCAACCTCTTCAGGCAGGAGGAAGCCTCTCACGATGGTGAAGCCCACGTCGGCGATTTCGTCATGGTGTTTGTGTGGAAGTGTCATGTTGAAATAAACAATTGGGAATAATAAAGTGGCAGGTACCCCTTATTTATATGTCTACCCCGGTTCCCCAGGTTTCATGGATCGTATTGCCGCACCACCATGTTACATTTTTCTCGGTGCGCTATCGTGCAACGTTACACCATACGCAGTGATTGCCGACTCTACATAAGAGGCAATCAATTCCGTTAACAACTACATTTTCTTTATCATGAAGTGGGGTATCTTGGGTGCTGGTAACATTGCAGGCAAGTTCGTCAAAGACTTGTTGCTTGATGAGCTGAAGAGGCATACAATTGTCGCAATTGGCTCATCCCTGGAGGATAAGGCTAGACAGTTTCTGGAAGCCAATGGCATAAGCAAGGAGAAGAATCAGGGGGTTATTCCCAAGTTCCAGCTGAGACTGGACTTCTTCAAGAACCCTGACGTTCAAATCATTTATGTGGCATCGCCCCACGTTTTTCACGAAAACCAGGTTCTCGAGGCATTGGAGAATGGAAAACACGTTTTGTGTGAAAAGCCCTTCACAGTGACTGCAGCCCAGTCGAGAAGAGTTTTTGAGGCAGCTGAAAAGTCTGGTCTCTTTGTTATGGAAGCTGTTTGGACAAGATTCATTCCTGCTGTCTTGAAAGCCAAAGAGTGGATCAAGGATGGCTCAATTGGCGATGTCAAGCGTCTTACAGGTGACTTCTCTATGGATCTTGATTTGGACAATCTTCCTGCGTCATCCAGAGGCAGGGATATTAACTTGGCTGCCGGAGCCACTTTGGATGTTGGTATCTACCCCTTGACCTATTCTCGTATTCTCTTGGATGACAAGTTGGGCAAGCAGGCGACGCCATTTGAGGTCAAATCTTTCCTCACAGTGGACGAAAAGGACAAAGTCGACCATCTCAGTACTGTCATTGTGAAGTACAACAATGGTAAGCAGGCAATTGCAACCAGCTCCAACTACACTGCCGGTCCAGAGAAGTTCTTACGCTTGGAGGGAACTAAGGGTTACCTTGAAATGTACGGTAATCCTGCTGCTCCAAAGCACGTCAAGGTTTTCACTCAGGACGGAAAGGTTGTGAAGGAGCATCTCGACAAGGACTCTTTTGCAGGATTTATTCATGAGGCTAATGCTGCTGCCGATGCCATTGAGGCTGGAAAGACCCAATCGGACTCCATTCCTTGGGATGAGACGTTGCTCATGATGGATCTTATGGACAAGGTTCGCTGGGAGAATGATTTCTATTACCCTGGAGAGAAGTAAGGGGAAGGTTAGGATTGGAAGAATCCAGATGAAAAATTATGTACATAACAGCTGAATCTATGGTTTGACAGCAGGTAAGAAATTGGAAAGGGGTTTTACTCATTGAAGTTCATGCCTTGATGTCTGCGGGCCTTCCTTCTACTCTTCAAGTAAACTTTCTTTTAGTACCTTTCACTATTGGTGAGCACTCCATGGATTTCGCAGCCGTTCCAAACCAGTTGTACATCAACGCTGTCAATGCATGGAAAAGTAAAAAAAAAAAATCAAATCCAGTAACTCATCGATCGTCTTTTTGACGAAGTATTAAATTGAGATAAATTTGCAGAAAATACCAAAGACCGTCCTTGCCTTCTTATCGTCGGTATACCTTGTCTCCATAGTGCGAAGATTCTCATCAGGCTGAAAAAATCTATCACCTACAACCCACTGAAACCACCAAGATGGCCGCATTCCTCACCAAATTCACAAGAATCCCTCTCAGGGACATCTCAAAAGCCGCCGACTCGCTTTTCCCTGAGCTCAACGCTGAGGCCAAGGCTTTGGCTGCTCAGTTCACCACCTTGTCCAACAGACTCAACGAGCAGGAGTCCTTGGTCACCTTGAACAACAACTTGAGAACCAGAACCTTCATTGTCGGTCACACGCCTGCTAAGGTTGACTTGGACGTTTTCGCCAAGGTTTTGCCTGTTGCTCACCAGTGGAAGCTGGCCGAGGAGTACGCTCAGTTCAGACACATCCTCAGATGGGCCGACTTGGTTCAGAACACCCTTGTGGAGGTGCCTGAGGAGGAGCAGTTGAAGGTTGACTTGGAGAAGGAGGTGCCACGTGAGATCAAGGAGAAGAAGAAGCCTGCCAAGGAGGGCCAGGCCAAGGATGCTCCAAAGGAAGCCGCTAAGGGTGCTCCTAAGGAGGCTGCTAAGGATGCTCCTAAGGGTAAGAAGCCACTTTCTGAGGAGGACAAGAAGGCTTCTGCTGAGGCCGCTAAGGCCAAGAAGGCCGCTAAGGCTAAGGCCAAGGCTGAGCAGCAGGCCAAGCAGGCTGCCGCTGCTGTTCCTCCTAACCCAGGCATGATCGACCTCAGAGTTGGTTTCATTCAGAAGGCTGTCAAGCATCCAGACGCCGACTCTTTGTACATGTCCACCATTGACATGGGCGACGAAGAGGGACCCAGAACTGTGTGCTCTGGTCTTGTCAAATACATCCCATTGGAGGACATGCAAGAGAGATACGTTGTGTGTGTGGCCAACTTGAAGCCTGTGTCTATGAGAGGTGTCAAGTCGACTGCCATGGTCTTGTGTGCTTCTAACGAGACCACTGTGGAGTTTGTGAACCCACCTGCTGGTTCTAAGGCCGGTGACAAGATCTTCTTCGAGGGCTACAATGCCACCCCTGAGAAGCAATTGAACCCAAAGAAGAAGATCTGGGAGGCTGTTCAGCCAGGTTTCTCCACCACGGAAAACTTCGAGGTTACCTACACTGAGGAGGGTAAGGCTCCAGCGAAGTTGGTGAACGAGAAGGGCGAGCTCTGTAAGAACAGCACTATTGTGAAGGCTGAGGTGAAATAAGTATACATAGAAAGAAGAGGCGAATAATGAGCTGATAGGGTGTAGAGCGAATTGATTTTGAGAGGTCATTGGGTGAGTGGGTCAGATTTTGAATCTCTCGTTAGTGAAAACTTTCAGTCATGTGCATTTACATTTGAACAACTAAACTATAAATTCTTTATTTGACAAATCAGTTGAAAACTTTAAATAAGGATATTCATTTACAATGTATCTCCTGACCCACTGGTGCCTGTTTCGAAGCCAGTAGTGACAGCCAATTCGGCAGATACACTCCGAATGTGTATGCATCACTGTACTAGTCCGAGACCCACTCACATATACTTCAATTCTTTCCCACTCATTTTGCAAACGCCACCATTAAAACACATTTTCAAAGAAAATCACCTTTCTTATTCAAACTAATTTGGTATAATTGAGCCCCGACCGACCAGAAGCGTCTCGGCCTTTCTGAGAAGCTTGCACAGAGTACACCGTAAGCTACTACAATGTCCTCCTCAGACATCCTCGAAATCGACAAGGAGGAGGACATAATTGAAAATCGGTACGAAGCTCTTCCAGAGCACTGCAAGCGCTACTGGAAAAAGCGGTACCAATTGTGGTCTCGCTTCGACCAAGGGGTGCTTTTCACGCCAGAATTGTGGTATTCGGTTACCCCAGAAAACGTCGCCAAATTCACCGCCAAACTAGCGAAGGTCCTTGTGCCTAGAGCAAAAGCCACTTTGGATGTTTGCTGTGGTGGAGGCGGAAACACCATCCAATTCGCTCGTTATTTCGAGAAACTGGTTGGTGTGGATATCAGCTCTACCAACATCACCTGTTGTGAGCAGAATGCCAGGGTGTATGGAACGAAGAATGTGCATTTTCTCAAAGGAGACTGGAGAGAGCTCCAGGATTCGAGAGATTGGGTGCCCGAGGGAGTGGAATTGGATAATGGCAAGTTTGATGTGGTGTTCAGCTCTCCTCCTTGGGGAGGTCCTGCTGTCAACAAGCAGGAGAAGTTTGACCTCCACAAGATGAGGCCGTTCAACGTGAGGGAAATTGTCTCGAGCATGAAGAAAGTTTCGGACAATATTTTCTTGTTCATTCCCAAGAACTCCAATTTGGATCACATTCGAGAGGTTGTAAGAGAACTTTACGGATCCAAAGGGAAGGCCCGTGCCTATCAGACATACGAAAATGGCTGGCCCGTGGCATTGTTGGTGGTGTTTGGCGATACGTGGAGAAAGGAGGTCAAGAAGGGCATCAAAGTTGATGCTCTAGATACTGGGCCTCCGAAGGGTGCTATGATTGAGTTTCTTCTTTCGAAGGGACTCACAATAGGGGCTAAGTAAACACCGAAAGATCCTCGTCTTGAGAGGTTTCAGGTGCAAGTGCTTGTCCCGTTTCTCTGTGGACGTTGGTGGATGGGTGCGTGCTGACACAAGACACCGGGATCTTGAGTGCGTTCTTCATTCACCAAAAGAAACAGAGCGACGAACTGGAAAAATTTTCAATTCTGAGGTCTACGAGCTGGTGGTGTTGGAAAGTATGCCTTTGGCAGGACACAGGGATCCTCGGGGTATATGGAGTACGGCAACACTGGCGAGAGGCCTCCAACCATTCATTCTTAGGGACGCAGACAAAGGAGTCAGAAGAGGTGCTTCTAGCGGGACAAGGGGATCCCGGGTGTGCTGACCTTCTGTCTTCGGTGGCTGTAGTGGCTTTAGCCAAGTCCTTATTCTTACCTGTCACTTTATCTTTGCATGTTCAGTCGGAGAGGAAACTGAGCCGGATTTGCATTCCCCGGGGTTTTCGAACCAAAATACATCATATAGCTAATGTGGCTGCTAGTCAGCTATAACTCAAGCGCAGTGTAGTCGCCGGTCCCTCATGGGTCAAGTTGCCCTTTTCGTAATTGATTTACTATGTACAGAAATTGGGAGCTCTCTTACTCTCCATGACCAGATCATTTGCTTTAAACTTCCACCTTCCATTGTGGTGACTTTTCTCTGCTCTGCTACTGGCTTGGTATATGATAAGCCATGCGCACTTCTCATCTCATCAATCACTAACCACAGCAATGAAACTCCTCAACAAGACAATCGCCTTGGAAAAGGACAAAAGTGGATCTCTTTCGCTTGTACCTCAAGACAAGGAGGATTTATGGCAGCTTTACAACTTGGTTCAAAAAGGAGATAAGGTGGAACTTCTGACGGTGAGAAATGTCAAGAAGACGCCAGGGTCCAAGGCCGAAAGAAAGCATCTCCATTTGAGTCTCGCTGTAGAAGGCGTGGAATACGAGCCAAGCGATGAAGTTATGAGAATCCGTGGTAAGACCACCGAGCAGAACGAGTATGTTCCAAACCAGAGTTTTCACACCGCTGAGGTTCAGCTCAACAAGGCCATCAAGTTGAGCAAGCCCGAGTGGGACGAGTTCAGCTACAACATTGTCATTGAAGCTTCTTCAATTGAGAAGAAGGCAGAAGTCGGTGCAGTTGTTCTTGAGGAGGGTGTGGCCCATCTCTGTCTTGTCACTGATAACATGACTGTTCTCCGAAACAAGGTGGAAAAGTCCATTCCAAGAAAGAGTCGAAGCGACGGTGGTGGCTCCTCGCACGACAAAGCCATTGGCAAGTTCCTCGATACTGTGCAAGCAACACTCTTGCGTAATTTTGACTTGGAAAAGCTCAAGGTGGTTATTCTTGCCTCGCCAGGTTTCACTGCAACTGCCCTCAAGCAAGCCATTTTCGATACAGCTGTCAAGAACAACAATAAGACCATCCTCAAAAACAAGTCCAAGTTCTTGGTCGTGCACTCTTCCACAGGTTATCTTCAAGGTCTAGAAGAGGTGTTGAAAGACCCTGCTGTGCAGAAGAACTTGACCGACACCAAGTTCGCCAAGGAAGCGGCTGTTTTCGACGAGTTCCAGCGTATACTCAATTTAGATGATGGGAGGGCCTGGTATGGTCCTCAGGAAGCCATCAAGGCTCTGGAAATGGGCGCTGTTAAGAGCCTTCTTCTCACAGACGCTTTGTTCCGAAGCGACGATATTGCCGTTAGAAAACACTACATAGCTTTGAGCGACGAGGTGAAGGCTCAAGGCGGAGAAGTATACATCTTCTCGACTCTACACGAGTCAGGCGAGCAGCTCAACCAGTTGACGGGTGTGGCTGTATTGCTCAAATACCCATTGGAGCTTGATGAGGATGAGGATGACGATGACGAGGAGGATGACGAATAAATTAGATGCGTTGACTCAGTGGAGTTCTATAGTCGTCAAGCAAATGCATATACCATACATGGCCGCCTCGGTACCTAATCATCACATCCTGGACAATTCCAATCCCGAGTCCCATGATACCGCCTTTCTTCACATAGCTCATTCGTTGCACAGGCGACATGTGTTTCCATGCTCCATATGTCCATGCCACTATCGTGGCTGCTGCAGCACTGCTGAGGAAGTCTTTGGTCCCTCTGGCATAGTCAATACCAGCTTCAAGGCCAAAGAAAGATGAGACACCAGCTGAATATCTTAATCCTATTTTGGTGGCTTCCCGAGCTCCACTTAGAATCATGACGTAGTTCTTCTTCTTATGGTAGAAGTACCATCCTCCCACGGTAGTAGGTAGTCTATGGCCATTCTCTGTGAGGAATCGAAGGGATGAGATCTTGATGCCTTCAAAGAAGCCCACACCTGCTCCCACAATACCAGAAGCCAAGGCTACCGCGGTGAGTCTTTCCTGAGTAGGAAGGTGGAATCGTTCGTTTCTGTTTTCGTCAGCCTTTGGAAGATCAGAGGACATTGATCTAGTTGGTGATGAGAAAGTCGCACCCATACGTACCGATAGTGAGAACCCCAGTAAGGTGAAATATTCAAAAGGGAAGTAAAGGTAAGAAAATTTGTGAAATTGTGAAACTCTCGAAAAGACCAATTTTGTGAATCTACATGCGTTGCACGTCGCTATTTCCATGTTGTACTTCAACACGAACCTTTTTGGTTCTTTGTACTGGATAGCCTGAGTCTCGCAGTGATAGAGAGAACATAATAACAGAACTTCTACAATACTTTGCGATTGGAGCAAAGGAAACTTCAACAAAACCGCTTTCCTCCAAATGCCCATCACAATTCCTCATAAATGGTATCCATTGATATAGCATAGCTCCCTACTGGTCCAAGATGGACTTCACAAACTCGACATAGTCGACGTTGCCCTCGCTGGTAACGTTCACGCCCTTCAACAACTCGTCCACCTCGGAGTCTGTCAACTTCTCTCCAATCGAGGTCAAGATGTATCTCAATTCGCCAACACCGATGTATCCAGTCTGCTCCTTGTCGAACACCTGAAAGCCCTTGATGTAGTCTTCAGGAAGACCAAGAGGCTTGAAGCCGTCTGGTCTGTTGATAATCTTCTCGTAAGTCTCGAAGTCAAATTCAGGCAGCTTGATGCCGCTTTGCAACTCAGAGATCTCAGCCAAAGTAGGGTTTTGGCCAACGGCTCTCAATAAGTCACCCAAGTGCTCAACGGGAATCTTGCCAGTGCCCTTCTTGTCGAAAAGGGCGAAGGCGTCTTTGTAAGTTTTGTTGTTAGACTGCTTGTTAGTATGACGTATTCAATTTGAGGGACAGATCAGCTTTTTCAATTTCTTCCATATTCCATTCATGTATCCTTGGTAATGGAAGCGTGTCTGGCCATAGTTTTGTTGAACATACCATGTCTGTTAGTAGAGGCTATGATGTATGAGTTCTTTTCATCCAGAAATGTAAACAAAAACGCGCGTGATCAAGTGCACGTGAATGATCTGGCAGTGATGCCTAATTACCGTTGATTCAGGCGATAAATGACATGAATGGATAAAAGATTACTTAGCAGTTGACCTGTTAAAGCTATTCTTATACCTCTTTTCTTGTACAAGACTTTTGTGGGATGGTTGTATGAAACACACCCATCAAGCTAAGCTTACATAGAAATACCCACATACTTTCGAGACAATGAATATTCAACTTATTCGTCAAAATGATTCCAAATGAATGATTATGAATACTCCTTTTCAAAGTCTGATCGTAGTTTCTTTTTTCCACGCTTTTATGTAATCATCTGCATGATGCTGATTTGCACCCACTGTTATCATTTTCAAACGCGAACAGACGCCTTCATTACTACCCCATGGAAAGAAACGGCGACTTAAACGGGGATAGTGATCCGAAAAGGCGAAAGTTGAATGGAGGCGGGGGACCTATGGAATTCAAGCCGGGCAATATCCTCCGTCTACGAATCTGGAACTTCACCACTTACTCATATGGAGAGTTCATTCTTTCACCGACGCTAAACATGATTATAGGACCCAACGGTACCGGAAAGTCAACATTCGTTGCAGCTGTGTGTCTAGGTCTTGGAGGCAAAGTTGATTTGATCAAGAGGAAGAATATGGACTCTATGATCAAGTCGGGTTCTACTGAGGCTCTGATTGAGATCAAGCTTAGGAACAAGGATGGAGAGCCCGATGTCACGATAAAGAGAACATTCTTCCTCAAAAACACGAAAAGCCGATGGTGGGTTAATGGATCCTCCAGCGATGTGCTCAAAGTTCGCCAACTAGTGCTTGATCTAGGTATTCAACTAGATAACCTATGCCACTTCCTTCCCCAAGAACGTGTTGCCGAATTCGCCACGCTATCCCCAGAGAAGCTTCTTCTAGAAACAGAAAGAACAATTGGTGACACCACCCTCCTTGACAAACATGAGTTACTTATAGAGCTAGATACCAACTGGGTGGAATTGAATGCGGATGTACAGAAGTTGGAGGAGAACATCGCCGGTTTGGTTGCAGATGTAGCTAAATTTGAGCAGGAGGCTCAAAGATATGCTGAGTTTGAGGAAAAAGCGAAACAGATTGATTACCACAAGAAGCTTCTACCCTATGCCAAACTTCAGGATGTGAAGGAACAGATGAAGGGTCTTAAGAAAGTTCGTGATGAAGCGAAGCGTGCATTGCAAGAATTTGCAGCTACAACACAGCCTTTATTAAGTCAGCGTGATATTGCTGAAAAGGATCTAGAGGCACAAAAGGAGAGGATTATCAAGCATAAAGAAGCGCTTTCACAGAAAAATGAGGACGTCAAGACCATCACCAAAAGGATAGCATCGCTTGAACAATCTTTAGAAGATACAAAAGGCGATATCGACTCTTTGCAGAACTCCACGGAGAAACGAAGAAAGGAGCTACAGAGAACACGGGAGGAAAAAGATACTCTACAAAACAAGTTGCTGACATTAGAGGAGGTTGATGAAGATGAAATCAAGCGGCTCTCTGAAGCAAGACAGGAAAAGCATGACGAGAAGCTTCGAAGAGACGAAGATGTGGAAAATCTTGTCTTTGAAGTAAGCAGCTTGAAGCGTGAACATGAATCTAATGAGATAAAGATGCGTGATGAAAGGCGCAAGCTTGAAAATGACGATAAGCTAGAGATTTTAAACACCAAGGGCTCTCGTTATCGACCTGAGATATTAGAGAGCACATATAAGGCACACCTTTGGCTTAGAAAGGAAAGACGCAATCACGGTCTCAAATTCTATGAGGCTCCTGTTGTTTCATGTCATGTCACCAACCAGAAAGTGGCCAAATCGTTTGAAAAGGTTGTGGACAATAACTCCTTGTTCGCCTTGTTCTTCGATAACGAAACTGAGTATCAGAAGGTGTCTCAGATCTTGCCGCGTGAACTCAACGTTCCCATGAGAGTTGTTTCGAGTGAGGAGACTCCACAATCCCCAGTTTCGGTTTCCGTACTACGTGAGTACGGGTTTGAAGGCTACCTTTCGGATTTTGTCGATGGACCTCCCTCTGTGGTGAAGGCCCTCAAGCAACGTTCTCAAATACATGCCATTCCTGTTGCTACCAAGCCTATCGATACAGAGGTGGTGAAGAAACTTCTCGTTCCTGATGCCAATGGTAAGGTACCATTCATGAGGTTTATTGTCGAGAATAACCTTTATTCAGTGGGCAGGTCCAAGTACGGTAGCAGGCAAGTCTTCTATCGTACAGAATACATTGGGGAGGCTCAATTGATGGGCTCCAGGGAACTCACTGAAGAGATGAAACGCGATATCAAGCGTAAAGTCATCTCCTACAAACAGAAATTGGACGACATTTTGGAGAAGCGTGAATCTATCAGCAAACAAAAACTGCAGCATCAAGAGGCGCTACTTGCAATATCTGATGAACTCACAAAGTTAGACTCGGAGATTCGCTCGCTTAGAAAAAAGAAGGAAGCTGTCCTGAGAATTCAAGAGACTATTAAACAACTAGAGTCTAGAATTACGAAACTCAAGGAAAGTATGACTCAAGATGACACCATGAAAATCAAGGAGGCGGAAAACAAGTTGATGAATCTCTATGTCGAGCACTCACAGGAGTTTATGAAGATGGCGGAGGTAAAAGAAAGAATTGTGATGGAAAATTTGGAGCTCAAGAAGTCCGAGCTCTTGACACAACAATCAAAGAGTAAGGTTCTTTCCATTCAATCTCTCTTAGAAGAGCTCGACCTCCATAAAGTCGATTTGCAAGAAAAATACGCCGATGCAAAGAGCCGATACGATCAGTATAAGAAGGGTGATGCTGCAAAAGAAATCAGAGAACAATATCTCACTGACTCCGATCGTGAGGTCGTTAGAGGGCTTGCAGAAACCTATCTCAATAATTCCCAATTATCCGAGCATTATATTCTTATCAAGATTGATCAGCTCGAAGATGAATTGAGTTTACTCTCCAACGCAGACAAGGGCTCCATTGAGCTGTTGAAGCAGAAGCGTGCCGATCTCGAGATCTCGCAAAGGCAACTTCCTGACCTACAACGAAAGAGAGATGATCTCAAGCAGAGAATAGACAACGTCTCCGGTCCTTGGCAGGGAGAGCTTGGTGATATGGTCGAGAAAATGTCCCAAACCTTCCAAAAGAATTTCATTACAGTTGCTAGTGATGGTCAAGTACGGTTAGTAAAGCTGGAACGATTCCAGGATTGGAAGCTTGAAATTCTTGTCAAGTTCAGAGAAAACTCGGAACTCAAGGTTCTCGATCACCAGTCACAGTCAGGAGGCGAAAGAGCTGTGTCCACAATCTTTTTTATCATGTCACTACAAGGATTGACCAATGCGCCCATCAGGATTGTGGATGAAATCAATCAGGGAATGGATCCCAAGAATGAAAAGATGGCACACAAATATTTCGTTCACACGGCTTGTAAAAAAAGTCGGTCGCAGCATTTCTTGGTAACACCAAAGTTGATTACCGGTTTGTATTATCACGAAGACATGGCAGTGCATTGTATTTTCACTGGTCCATTCCTCAAGAGCAATGATGAGAAGGCCCCGAAACCGGGCCTTTTGGATTTTCAAAGAACAAGCAAGGTTTCGTCATAGATTAATTAATGCATTCTATTTACAGTATTTCGGCTTCGAGGAAAACGATGGCATTATCAAGACGCTCCACATATTTCTCGTAGCCAAGTATGTTAATGAGTGTGGGGATGGTGATTCCTGAAACGCCTCCTGCCAATGCAAAACGAGCAGCTTGGAACAAGTCTTTCTTCTTCAACTCTGGATTAGTCTTGAGAATGTCGTCAACGGGGAAAGGGCTATCCGAGGTTTGAGCACGCCTGATTGTTTGAAGAATGGAGAGACACTTTTCCTTCTCGCTCGGCATTTTGGACTCAGCTAAATCAACTTCTTTGAAGAAATAGGTATGAACGTTTTGTATTTCCTGGATGGAGCTGACATTGGGCCCCACATTTTGAATCAAATGGCTCCAGAAATCTTTCGAGAACTCTCCATTAGTAACTTTCTTGAAGCCAGGGAATGTTTCGTCTACCAATTTCTCGAGACTCGAAGGCTCACTTATTCTTGACAAAAGGTGACTCTTGTTGAAGAAGTGAAGCTTGTTGTCGTTCACCTTTGCATTTCCTTTCGTAAGATGATCCAACAGAAACTTGCTCACGAGGTCCTCTAGCGACATCACCTCACTGGTTGGCTTACCTTTCTCTGGTCTTGGTGGAGACCAGCCAAATAATGCAGCGAAATTTGTGAGTGCTTCGGGAAGAATACCCTCGTCTTTCATACTCAAAACCCCAATATCTCCTTGTCTTTTAGAGAGTTTCTTGTCTGTCAACGAAGTAAGCAACGGTATATGTATAAACTGAGGAGGTTCCCATCCGAATGCTCTGTACATAGCGATGTGCTTTGGCGTCGCCGCCAACCACTCCTCGCCACGAATAACATGGGTGATCTTCATCAAGTGGTCATCAACAACGTTAGCAAAGTGATATGTGGGAAGGCCATCCAGCTTGAGAATCACGAAGTCGTCAAATCTTCTGTCTGTCGGATTCACCAGGGGCTGAAGGTCAAGCTTTCCGTGAAGAAGATCCGTGAAAGCTTCATAGCGTTCTGGCGACTTGAACCTGAAAGTAAATTCCTCTTCTCCCTCGGGAGCATGAAGGCACTTTCTATCATAGGTGACAGTCGTGGGTGGCTTCAATGCCATCGCAGTTTCTCTTAAATGCAAAAGGCGGTCTTTGGAACAATAACATTTGTATGCGTAGCCTGCTTTTATGAGCTGATCGGCATACTCTTTGTATATCGACTTTCTCTCTGATTGTTTGTATGGTCCGTAAGGTCCACCAACTTCAGGACTTTCATCAGGTCTCAAACCTGTCCAATTCAAAGACTTGTAAATGTTGGCTTCTGCATCTGGCACAAGTCGCTTTTGATCTGTGTCCTCCAAGCGAAGAAGGAATTGGCCGCCTGTGCTTTTGGCTAACAAGTAGTTGTATAGAGCCGTTCTCAACGATCCCAAATGAAGGTACCCAGTAGGTGAAGGAGCAAATCTCGTACGTGCCGGTCCCTTCGGCTGAATGGACTTGCTTTGAGGCACATGAAGCTTTCCTTTGAGATTTAGCTTCAGAAGGAGCCGTAGCGAACCCCACATATCAAGGTGATGTAGTTGTAGTACAACCGCGCGAATGCAGTCGGGTGTAAAAGATGGGATTTATGAGGGCCTCCTCTGGGTTCGTTGCAATTTGGTCAAACAGAATTCAGTTTTTGTTCATTTATCTTAAATAATCACTGCTTCCACAATCGCTTCAGTTCGATTGCATTTCTGGTACGGTGGGAAAACAGCTGCCTACACACAAATGATCTTACTGTTTCACCTCTTCAACGCCTACTCTCAAACGACTACGTTACTGTAATTTAATCAAATTTGTTGATGCAAAAATAAACCGAACAATGCAAATTAAACCGTGCAATGTTTCTTACCGGATAACTACTAACTTTTTCCAATTTCAATAATGAGTAGAAACTGTACCCTTGCTCTAGTTCTCCGGCGGCTGCGAAAAACCGTTAGATGTCAAGCTCGGATCCGTAGCAAAGCCCACCGAGGCATCATACAAGCAAGATGGCAAAAAGTGGTTAATAAGAAGTAATCTATTATCTTTAGTATTTAACCAAGATAACTTCCAATACAACATAAAAACCATGAATTTCTCTTCATGCTACCCTGCACAGGTTAGAGATGATTTAGCGTATGCACCTCTCGAATTGCCGCAAAATTTTCAGAACCCCAGATCTCAGGTGTACCACTTCACACTGCCAGAAACCACGAATGTCACAATTCAGCCGCCAGACAACAGCTCTGCCTGCTCCTCCCATGCAACCTGCTGTCCAAAGCTCCATCAACCAAAAAAGACAGTTGCAGCAGTTCTATCTCCACAAGCTGTTTGATCTCGAGCTGGATGTCGAATTCCTTCCTTTGATTCCACAAGACCCTGTTGGGGCTGCCATTCAGATGCAAGAATCCATGGCTATGCAAAAGGCTCAATACACCATGAGTCCAGGAATGAGTCCACTCAATAGACAAGAGGCTATGGCCTTGTACAACCAGGCAGCTCAGCGTTCGAGACGCCATAGCAACCAGTTCTTGCAGCAGCACTTGTTTGGTGGAAAGAGGGCAAACTACTCTCTGTACCGCAACCACTAGAGGTGAAAATAATTGAAATAGGGGTTACAGGGCACCAACCCTGAGGTTTATGCCCGGATCATGACGGAACAACCAAGGCAACTTGTATATAACTGGAGTAAGATTTATAGAATATTTATAATAGATTGATATGAACGGCGTTAAAGCGTTATTTGAATATTTGTAGAATTAATTTTGATTTGAAGAGTGATGGTTGTTTCATGAAATCACTGCAATTGCGCACTATGGCTGCAAATCAAATACTTATCAACGCCTATATTAATTGATGAAGGTGGTTGAAAGCACAAGCACAAACAATACGAAATATAAAGTCATGCTAATCTTTCATGAACGTTAATTTGACGTCATCTTCCCCGACAACATCAAACTATGCTCGACACTGCTTCTGAAGCACTTGCGGCTTCCACCAGGTAGACTCACAAAGAATAGTAAAATGAACCTTTAGGCACGTATTGTAGCGGCAATACAAATGAGTCCTCATGACCTCCCTTCAAAACTTCAAAGATCCTCCTACGTAGTGCAAGTGTACTCTGAGAGTGAGAGTATACCTCCAATAACTGCCCATCAACCAATTGGCTAGTGTCATTCAATTGCTGATTCTGTTAAAATTATCATAATGCTTCCGGAAGTATGAAAAAATTTACGACAATGCGTGAACTTTCGGTCGTGTTCTCTCGAAAGACTCATGGAACCCTGAGGAACGTACTATGCTCGATTTGCAGCCAAAGTTTTAACCACATCATCCATGAAAGCGAGAAATAAAGCGAAAGCACCGCCAATCCTAAATCATATATATAAGAAGCGCTGGATCCCAAAATTTCACAATTTTTGAGAGTGAGTCGAAATTCAAGGGATCAAGGGTCTGGTGGCAAGGTCTTCTGATGCTATATAATGCGCGCTTGCCCCATCCCTGACCCCAACCTACTACTACTACCACCACCACAAATACCACCATGTGTAAGAAGAAGGAAGATACATTGACCCGTGCAGAGTCAGATTCTGACTCTTTCTCGCCTTATGACGAGGATATCAGTCGCTTTTTTGACAAGGCCTCCGGCTTCACCAAGAAGGTTGTGGGGCACACCTTCGATTTGGCTAGTGACTTGCCCGGCATGTTCAAGGAGCAGGAGGAGCACTTCATGGATAAGTTCATGAACAGACCATACCAGACCCGTGATAAGGATTTGGACTCCGACAGAGGTTTTCATCCATTTGGCATAGCGTTTGATGCCCTTGATGTATTCGGAGGGTCCAGTGGCGACACACCATTCGGACTTTACTCCTACAAGAGTCCTTCGGTCAGAAAGTACAACGAATGCATGCGCAAGGATGGTGAGTCCGTTTGGGATTCGGAGGGCTACTGGCGCTGTTTGTTCCCTAATCGTGAGATCCCCAACAAGCTCTTGAACTACAAGAAGAACCACTTGTCAGGGCACATTTTGACCAAGGAAGACTTCAACGAGGCAATCCAAGAGCATCCTGGTGCTGACAAGAATGGTGTAATCGACTTGGGCCCCAAGGGTATGTTCTTCCGTGAGTTCAATCGCTACTTGAATTGGAAGAACCATTTGTACGAGGATGTCAGGAGGCAGAGGGAGGAGTCCAGACGGAACCTTCGTGAATCAATGAGAGCTGCTAACCCGTTCACTCCTGAGAATGAGGGACAAGGCCAGCCTGATGAGGTGGTATCGTACTCTACGAAGATATACACCAACTATGATCGTGACAACAACAACGAGGTGATGCACGAAACCAAGACTGAGGTCATGGCCGACGGAAGATCCGTCACTACGAAGCTGACGCGAACCAGGCCAATTGGCAGCACCGAATGGCTGGTGGCCGATCAACTGACCGAGGAAGACAACAAACTGGGATGGTTCTGGAACTCCAAGTAGGTCAGATCACGAATTGGGTAGGGCATCGAGCCCCGGATGTTTATACGAATGATTGAATACATGTAAAAAGGCTGATAACCGGCTTGCAAAGTCCGTAAGACTACGGTGCGGTACGGGTGTGTGGGGCGGCAATACCTCAACGATACGGTAGCGAAGAAACAATATAGATAGGCCTAACACACTCACTCAATTCGTCATGAACCCTTTGAACAAAATCATCTTCCTTTCAGCATTCTTGGCCTTTGGCTTCCTCCTAATCCTTCTTTCATGTGCGCTATACAACAACTGGAAACCCCTATGGGTCATTGCCATCTTCTTGGTGGCTCCTTTGCCAAACATAATCCTGTCTTCGATTGAAAACAACCGAGACGATTTCCTTACTTTTAGCAATGACAGAGGAAACACCCCAACCCCATTGCAAGAGCTGGCCAAGATCATTACAGGATTCTTGCTCGTGAGCGGCATAGCCTTGCCTTTAACCATGTACCATACACAGCTCATTGGCGTGGGCTCTTTATTCATGAGTGTAATTGGTGGTATGATTGTCTACAGCGATATTATAGTGTTTATATGGTTCTTTTCCGAGCACGAGGACGAGAATGACGACTTCAACTTCTAGCTGAGCACCACCAACAACAATATTAGGATCACTGAGAGGACGATGATGGTGACAAGACTACCATTTTCACGAACACGGGTACGGAAGTCCTTGAGTCGGAGACTGGCCCGGCCCAAGCGGGAGCCAGAATCGTCCACACCTCGTTCCAAGTCATTTAGCAATATGAGATGGTCGTCCAACTCGTCGTTGATATTGCGGCCCATGGAGTGCTGGACTCTGATCGATTCATGCAATGCATCTAAATTCTCGTCTTGCTGCAAAAGCTGTTGCTGATGCTGCGCAAACATCTCACGGTTGGAAGTATCTACAGAATTCAACGACTGGGAGTCCGCTTCCTCCGGGTCGTCCCGATATGGCTTGATCTGGCCCTGGGTGCCCATAAGCTGAGACCTCATATTATCATCATCAGTGTTGTAGTCCTTGAACCGCACCAGTTTCTTGGTAGTGAGTTCAGGCGCCTCCGGCTTGGTGATTTTCTCGGTGTATTCATACTCATGGGCATCGACATATGCATCTTTCGACAAAACGGCAAGCTGCTCAGTATATGAATCGACGATGGTAGCGAACTGTGTGGCAAACTGGTCAGCGTGACCGGTGGAGATATCCAGATGTAGATACTGGAGACTCTTTTTGATCTTTGCGAGCAAATTAATCAAGTCCATATTGTCGTCCAGCGACGGAGTAAGCTTGAGAGTCTCGGTCAAGCGTTGCCGCTCTTCAAGAGTAGCCTGCAACTGGTCCGTGAAAGACCGAAGCTTGGCAAACAGAGCTCTGATGTCTTTCTGTGTGATAGTCATGCTGGTGTGGATTGTGCGGTGGGACAGATAAGAAGTGGTAGTGAGATCACGTGCGAGAACCGGAAACCGCCACAACAGAACCATGGAACGGGAATGGCAAATCACTGAGAGGCTGAGGCAATTGACTACTTACAAGAGGTTGTTTGTTGATGGTAATTGGATCAAACTCACCGAGGGCTTGATCCACAGCAGATCGCCGGTTGGGCGGAGTTAACCTTTGCAGAGGGTTGCATCAACATCCTTTGCAGACATTTACCCAGCTGCTTCGCATCGGAAGAATGACAATTTGACGAGAAAGCCCGTCGTCTACATTGGATTCGTGCATAAATGACATTCTGGCCCTTGTGAGACCGACTCTATTAACAATTAGCTGTTAGCGGCGTGACTGGGGATACAAATCGCCCCTTTTAAAGATCGTGGTGCTCCAGGCGGGGGAGTTTTTGAGTGTGGAGACGGTTTCGTCGAGGCAACGCTGGATTTCCAACATTTCCTGCTCCGCCAGGCCCTCTAGGCATTCTAGCATGGTATGCAAACTGTCCAAGCCCGACTCCAAGGCCTTCCGTGAAGGTAGTTGTCGTAGACTGGATCTGGAACTGTGTGGTTTCTGGAGACTCAGTTGGATGGATGTGGCGTGGGAGGTGATGGAGAGCAGCAGAGCATCGGAGTCCAGCTCCGTAGCACTGTCGTTATGGTGCAGCTCGGACCACTCTGAAGCCTCCCAGCTGAGGTCGTCGAGTTTCCCCAACAATGCTTTTGACATGGACGGAAAAAGAGTGATAGCAAAAATTGAAAAATGGCCGAAGCTCCCGAATATGTATGGAAGCAGGCAGCCGCCAAAGGGGTCCTCCACTGGCTGGTGCGTCGCGTTTTTATTATACTTTAGGCAGTGCGCCAGGCATACACGAAAAGACGAGCCTGCCAAAACATGAGCCGCTTTTAATTTTTCTGGCTGCGAAATTCATTGTCTTGAAGCTGGCATGGCTGGTTTAATTTCCCGTCTGGCCGAGGCACAATAGAGGACTCGTGTGGAGCAAACAATCTAAAGAGGTACAACGAGCTGGCCGAAAACAGCATGCAGCTTTGTCAGAACTCTAAAAGCTGGGCATGGTTGACTCCGAGAGCTGCTTGGGAACAAGGCCTTCGAAGTCTGTTTTGCAAATCATAAACAAACACACGGAGATCGTTATGATTACGGATTTTCTTCGATCGGTGCCACCTGGGCTATTATTACTTTGATTTGCCTGACGAGCACGCGGCAATGTAGATCGCGGTCTTATCTTAAATCCATGGGAAACATCTGAAGAAGGATGAAATTCGTAGATGGAAATTGCGCATAATCCAAGCCCTTTCGAGATCAAGTAAAAGGTTGACCTCATCAGTAGCTAATAGGCTTAACGGTACGCAGGTGCATTCCAACGCATTTGCGATTTTAGACGACCTGGTGTACCCCACCGACCCATGGTTAGACGGAGACAGCATTTCAACGATCAGCGTGGAAAGTATCACAGAAAGATTGAGTTCCTTGAATCTTATAAATGCAACACCAAAGACTGAACGGTAGACTCTGGATAACTCTATCAGTCGCCTACACGAGTGTTTGGCTGCAAATGCGCATCACGTCTGGAGAATGTACCAAGGCTTATCGTAAATGCTAGTACTTTGTACTATCCGGCTGAGCTTTGTGCTATTCGGCTGAGCGTTTTTCTTGTGAAATCACAAAACCGATATTTTAGTTGATCTATGATTATCTCGAGGGGAGATCGGCGAAAGTGACGTGTGATTCGAGCTCGAGAAATGTGGCTTGTAGGAGCGTGTTCTCGAACCTCGAACCACGAGTGGCCTGATTTTGGCGTGGCCCGAAGCATATAAAGAAAACAGCTTTGTAGAGTCTGGCTTCATATACGCGAATTCTTCTTGACTGGTATGGGTTCATTTTGATTATGTGTTGTGGAGAATTCAGGAACCAGTATTCGAGCGCAATTCCAGGTTAGTGCTGAAACAAACAATTTAATGTTTGATTGTGCCATGGGGGACTTTTCCTTGTTATATCAAAGAATGAGAATAAAGGAGCTAAACAGATCACAAACGGACTCATAATATCAGGGCATTGTGCTGCTTTGGGCCTATGACGTTGGGGTTCAGAGTGGCGAGGCAACGAAAAGTGCATGCTAGAGCCAACAATGGGCAAGACTTCGTAAAAGGTGAAATCTGTTTATAAATAGGCAGAGTCCCCAAATTCGATGCCCAATGCCCTACTTTGAATCAGTCTACCATGAACGACTTTCAATGTTGGGACAGATTTTGCAGCCACCTCTAACAGCTGTCTCAATCCTGCCCTCGTCACAGAATATCGATACAGCAAATTAGTGGGTCACTCAAAATAGTTTACCGACGGAGCCGAGAGACAATATAGAATAGGGAAGGTCACTTCAGAAAGACTACTACCGAATCGATGAACCCCACTTCCATCCAACAACATCCAACAAAGCAATCGAAATCTGACAGCATCTATGCCTCCAAAATTTCTTAGATCGCCACCGCCTGTATTGATCTTCAAGGTCACCACTCCAGGGTCCTCTTGGCACATCACAGCCTGAGTCATATCGAATCGAGTCCAAAACACAACACGCATGATTCCATCAAACCTTTGACAAAAAACCTTATCCAAAGTCTTGACATTTAAAATTCCTTTGGCAATATCCTCTTCTGGAAGCTACATTGCGCCTGTGCTTGTCTCGCTTACTGAGATCCAGATAACAATGTCCCGCGGGACCCCGCGGAGGTGCGCTCTCTCAAGTATATATACACCTGGGTTCTCCCACATGGTCCTTTTTTTACATCTACAAAAATGACTACAGCCAAACCAGTGAAAACGGTCTGTGTCTTCTGCGGTTCTTCTTTTGGAAAGAGCCAGTCTTTTGCTGACAGCGCCAGCAAGCTCGGTGAGCTTTTGGCTGCTAGAAACTGGGGGTTGGTCTATGGTGGAGGTTCAACTGGTTTGATGGGAGCTGTTGCTAGAGGCAGTGCCACTAACGGCGGCTACGTCCATGGCATTATCCCCGAGGCTTTGATTTCTCGTGAGAGAACGTCCGACAATGACTTCAACGACAAGTTGAAGGAGGGTATCGACAACCACGATGGATCCACGCCGCTTCCCGACTCCGACTTGTACGGCAAGACCACGCTTGTCAAGGACATGCACACGCGGAAGCGTATGATGGGAGAGGAGGCTGACGCGTTCGTGGCATTGCCCGGTGGCTACGGTACTTTGGAGGAGTTGATGGAGGTGGTCACCTGGCACCAGTTGAACATCCACAGCAAGCCTATTATCGTCTACAACTTGAACGGCTTCTATGATAGCTTTCTTAAGTTCATTGAGGAGGCCATTGCGGCCGAGTTTGTGTCGCCCAAGAACGGCGAGATCATTAAGGTGGCCCTGACGGCCGAAGAGGTGTTGGAGGCCATCGAGCACTACCAGGTCCCCGATGGCCGCTTCAACTTGAAGTGGGACACCACTTAAACTAGATATAAATAGATTTGCTTATAGACTGTGCTGTAGCCCGGACCAGCCCGGAATGCAATTAATGGCCGTTGCCTTCTTCCTCCACATCTTCGTCGTCCACGTGGAAAGCGTCCTCGAATTCGTCAAGAGGAATCTCCACCTCCAGAAGGAGTCCCAGCCCCACATCGTACATGAGACCCCAGACTTCAATCTCTCCCTTCTTCAATGCTTTCTGCGCCAGAGGGTGTCTTTTGAGTGCCATCACGGATGCAACAACATTGAGCTCGGCGAGCTTCTTAGCTCTAGCTCTTGGGTCAGATTTCAACAGCTCTAGCAATTTGACGTTTTGTGCACGGATGTGTCTGACAGGATTGAGCCAGAGATCGAGCACACCGCCAATCTTCTTCTTGGAAAGCGATGCCCACACACCACCACAGTCAGTGTGACCGCAAACGATGATTTTGCGGACTTTAAGGACATCCACGGCGAACTGGATCACACCTTGAGAAGAAATGTCGTTGGCGTTGACGATATTGGCAATGTTTCTATGAGTGAAGATCTCGCCAGGTAGCGTGGCAAGACATGACTCACCAGCTCTGGAGTCAGAACAGCCGATCCAAAGCGTATGCGGGCTCTGGCCCTTGCCGTTGAGCTCAAACACCTGGTTCAGGTGGTTGTGTTTGATGGACTCGACGAAAAAACGGTTATTTTCGAGAAAGTCCGATGACGTCGACTCCTTCAGAAGTGTGAAGGGGTGATTGGGACGATCATATGTGGGTGCTTTTGGCGCTGCCAGAACCTTACCGTTTGGAGGACTGGTGGTCAAGTCGGTTTCGTTGTCTCTTTCCAACTGGTAGTGGACAATGTTCTCTCTTCCCATTACTTTCGAGGCTGATGCAAAGGTCCGGATGTGGGGAATCAAACGAGGAGGGATTACCAAGCTGCTACCACGCATCGTAGGCCGGTGATGGGATTCGTCATCTTTATATACTGCCCATCGCCTGCACTGGAAGATTACGTAGTTGTGGATGCATGGTATGCGCAGGATGCCCTTATATTGGCTAACCACCGTTTTTATGAATGTGGCGGCCTTTCTATGAAAAAGCTTTCGATGGGATCTGCTTTTTCACTGTTGAAGAGGGAAACACCACCTTTTTTTCCCAAATCGAAAACCTCGTAAATCTAGCAGAATTACAGGGTTCAATTAATCACTGCTTATCGCACGTGACCGGCCCGATGCGCCGTAAAACGTCGGCGCGGAAAAATTGGGCTGATAGGGATTCGACCAATCTGAGATGTTGGCCTCGGCCCAATGCCGTCCATTGACAATTTTCAAAACTTAAGTAAATTGATGAAAATGAAGCAGTTTTAAGCTTTTGACATCCAATCTCCATTGTCCATTTTGTGCCTGGCGGACTTGGTGATGGGCATCATGCGGCGTTGACTCATTGTGGCCTGAGTCAAAGTTGGGTTCTGGCTTGGCCTTGGAAAAAGTCCGATGTAGCAACGGTGAATTTTTATTTTCGTAACAGCAGTAGGCACATTCAAGCATTGACGGGTCCGTGACCCAGATCAACCTTGCGCCGCTTTTCTTTTTAGTCTTAGGTAAAGCAGCATCGTGTATGGTGTGGGAATGAGACAGAAAAGCCCAGCTGCCTCTAGATTGAAGGAGGTTGGCTGGTTACTTTGAATTCTCTGAGTTTCTTGATTTGGAGTGAAAAAGAGGAAGATAAGCTGTTGTTGGCCGAGAAGCCAAGAGGACATGTTTGAGGTGACCGGATGCATTTTGCAGCCAGCTGCACCTACCGCTATGCAGCTACCTTTCGTCAACAAAATTGACGAATAGGTCTTTTTACGGAGGATGCCTTTTTCGTGAAGGTTAGGAGAAATGGTCCACTAGAATGATGCAAGCCACGTCGACCTGTTTCAAGCGGCAAGCGTAGGGATGTTTCAATGCCCGTTTAGCTGGAGAATGAGGGGACCCCAATACAAAGATGAAGCGGAGCCACAAAGCAATTGTACATTCGAGCAGGGACGTTCTTGTCAAGATTGCCCTGATCTCCGCCTGTGGCTCATTCTCGAATTGTGGCTTCCGCATTGTCCAGTGATCTCGAGGCTCACAACTAGAGGCAAGACTGGCAGATCACAGAGTACACCTGACGTCAAGAATAAAGTGTCAATTGATTGTTGAGACGACAATGGCAGGACACGTTTAGCTTTATGTTACAGTCTGATACTGCAATAAAGTCATCAGAGGA